CTCCATGTCCTTTCCCAGCCAATGATACAACCTTCCAGATAGTTTTTCAAATCTGATACTTCAGTGTCTGCTCACACACAATGACTAAGCTTTCCTGATTCGAAATCCACAGTATATTTCACTCTGCCTACTCTCTTCTTTAGCGATTGCTCTCCTCTAGTTTGGGGGTCCCCTGTCACTGACACAAACCAGAGCAGAAGCCCCCTGAGGAAGTACTGCCTCCAGATTGAACCCTCCACAGTAAGCCTCCTAACTGCCTCTAGATTCAACTCTCCAACTTCCACCCACCCATTTTAGTCTAAGTGACCACACTAAAACACAAACTCCACATCCCAGCATCCTTACGCCTGTGCCTGACTGGGGCTCCCCGATTCTCCTATTCAGCTGTCTTCCTAACCTACCATGTGAAAATAGCTCAACTGATTTAAAAATCTACTACAATACATATTTGAATACTACTATCACTTTATCCATGATACCCTGCACTCATGCTATGCTATCTTGCACTTAGCTTGTACAGTACTTCTGATATTTCTTTTGTCCATGTTTCTTTATATATATGTATTACCTTAGAATTTATCTTTCTAATAATTATCTTTTAGCAAGTGCCAATAAATGCATAAAAGGTTAATACATGCTTCATTCATGCACTTGTCAAGAGCCTTGGCTTTGGAAAGTGATGGATCTGAATTAAATCCTACATCTAACTTAGCTTGTATAACTTTGGACAAAGCTCCCAGTTTCTCTACGGTTACTTTCCTTTCATTTCAGGAACTGTGAAGCACTCAGATGTACACACACCTGAGCAAATGGCTCTGGCAAAGCTCACCCTAGAGTTGTATTAACTTGGTGCAGATTGGAAGGCCCAGGCAGAAGAGAACGGCAGGCTCTGTGCAAACCTCGGGCTTTCCTCAACCTCAAGACAGGTCCCCTCTGATGAGCATGGAGGAGTGACCTGCAGTTGTGAACCAGGAGAGAGACCATGGCCACCTCTCTTTGTCCAGGAGAATGGCCTTGCATGTCTGCAGAAAACCCAAGGTGATCTTGGGTCTGTGCTACCCCATTGAGTTGCAGACAACATCTTGCAGCAGGAGGCTTCTGCTAACAGCACATGCAACCTCTCCTTTGGAAGGTGGAGAACACCAGTATTCCCAGCTCTTTCTGAGTTAGGCAACCCTGAACAAGCTATTTAGAGCATCCAGTATACAATTCTGCTTGTCTCTTACTCCTGCATTAAATGTTGGGTTTCCTATGTCTAACTGACTGTGTTGTTAGAACTAAGTCAGAAACTTCCAATAAAAAATAGTTTCTGGGACTGGCATTGTGGCATAACATGTGAGGCTACTGCTTGCAAACCTAGCATCCCAAGAATATGGGCACTGGCTGCTCCACTTCTGAACCAGCTCCCTGCTAATGCACCTGGGAAAGCAGCAGAAGATGGCCCAAGTGCTTGGGCTCCTGAACTCATGGGAGAAACCCAGAGGAAGGTCCCTCCTGGCTTCAGCCTGGTGTGCAGCCATTTGAGGAATGAACCCATGGATGGAAGATCTCTGTGCCTCTCTCTGTCTCTCTTTGTATGTCTCTCTCTTTCTCTGAGTCTCTATGTCTCTGTAACTCTGACTTTCAAATAAATAAATAAATAAACTTAAAAAGAATAGTTTCTGATACATAGATTACTATGTGTTCAATAAATGTTGCTAATATAATATCTAATATTTTTAAAGATTTATTTATTTATTTGAAAGAATGACAGAGAGGGAGAAACAGGGACAGAGAGACAGAGGGACAGAAAAAGGGAGGGAAGGTGGGAGAGAAAGTCTTCCATCCACTGGTTAACTGCCCAGATGGCCACAATGGCCAGTGCTGGGCCAGGTCAAAGCCAGGAGCCAGAAGCATCATTTGGGTCTCCTACATGGGTGCAGAGGCCCAGGCACTTGGGCCATCTTCCATAGTTTTTCCCAGGCCATTAGCAGGGAACTGGATAGGAAGTGAAAAAGCAGGGACACAAACTGGTGCCCACATGGTGTCTCAAGCAGAGGTTTTATCCATTATGCCATAACACCAGCCCCTCTAATAATGTTTTAACACACTAATATTTTACAAGGTTGATAGAATTAATAGGTGGAGAACGAATGTGGCTACAGTTTGAGGGATTGAAGTCAATTTGATCACACACATTCCCCTAAGGTACTCAAATCCAAGCCATTTGGGGTTATTCCCAAGGTATCAGAGAGAGTATTTTTCCCATTAAGGTTGTGACTTTTCCTCTTTAATAGTAATCTAAAAACTATACAACTTCATTTCACATTGAATCCGGTCCTTCCACTATGCCATATGCATTACAGTTTGTGCTTAAAATCATACTGTCCCCAAGAACTGCTACTTTAGCCATAGGCCAAACAGGAAACAATAAATGCAGGTACCACAAAGACATCAATTGAAGCACACAAAATAGAATATTCCATAGACTTAAAGATGAGAAAAAGCGTGTGTATTGGGGGGGGAGGTATAATACTGGAGTTATGACAAGTAGTCATAACTGTTTGCTAACAGTCAAAAAACATTGACTGGGGCCAGCGTCTGGGCACAGCGGGTTAAGCAGCTGGCTGGGATCCCGGCATCCCATAAGGTCACTGGTTTGTGTCTTGGCTGCCCCACTTCCCATGCAGCTCCCTGGGAATGTACCTGGGAAAGCAGCGGAAGATGACTCAAGTTCTTGGACCCCTGCTACCCACGTGGCAGACCCAGAGGGAGTTCTAGGCTCCTGGCTTTGGCCTGGCCCAGACCCCGCCATTGTGGCCATTTAGGGGGTAAACCAGTAGATGAAAGATTGGAAGATCAATCTCTCTCTCTCTCTCTTCCTCTCTCTCTCTCTTTCTCTCTCATTCCCTCTGTGACTCTGCCTTTCAAATAAATCAATACATTTTTTAAAAACGCTGACTAATGGCCATGTCCACACAGAATTCAAAGTAAGCTGTACGTTCGCAGTCACTACCACATGAATACTGTGAGTGGTACCCTAGCTTCAGCAAAACTGTATCAGTGGTTTTGCTGAACTAGTATTGAATGTATACCCTACACTGAATGTGTATTACATATATGATGCTGGGGAAATCACTTAATTTTTCTAATACCTGGTTTCCTCTCTACTAAACAGGTAGTTCTAAGAATTAAATTAGAATTAGATTATGTCCACAAAAACCATAAATGACACATACTACTTGCACGATGACTTTTAGCTATCATTGTACTTGTGATAGATTTTATTACATGGCTATTCTGAATGAGTAGAGAATGTTCCAATAAACATGAAGCATTTAGAAATTTGTTTACTGATGTACAGCGTGTGGCATAAGCCTTGCTAAACTCTGATCCAAAGAGAAATAAGATTGACTGTCCAGCATCCAGGTTCCAGAGTCTTAATGAGGGTGGAACTTTTTTAAAGGATGATTTTATTGAAGTAGGACAATTAGGAAATGAGGAACTAACACAGAGTCAGAGCTGCTAAGCCGGATTGTTGAAGCCGAGTCAGCTAGCAGTTAAGCTGGGCAGATGGTGGAAAGTGGGCTGCCCCGACTCATCTCCCATGCAACAGCTGCAGGGAGTCTGAGCTGCAGTTCAGTGTCTGGTTGATTTGACTACAAACCCAATTCTGCCACTTCCTATCTGTTAAGTTGGAGAAAGGCAATCTCTCTGTGTGTGAACTTTCTCATTCGGAAAGTGGAGAAATGGAAGTTATCCAGGAGTAGTTATCTGGGATGCTTTAGAAACATCATAAACTGCTTATAATGGCATATGATGAACACGCAAATGCAAGTAAAAGTTACGCAGACCCTTTCTATTAAGCTAGTAATATTTGTGTTGTTCCTATGATTGTTATTAATACAATTATTATTCTGTAAGCTCTGGAAAGCACAGAAGGGCTGCTGATGTTTGATGGTGGAGGTGGGTATCGGGAACACTCAAATACAGGAGCAGACCTGTACGTTCTGCACAACATGGCCCAGTGTAGACACAGTCAACAAGTCACATAAGCTCCATATGATAAGCTTTGCTTTAACAAAAAAGAATTAAACCAGAGCCTAACTCAGCTTACATCACAAAACCATGGAATATGTGTGCAACTGCTTTACTGGATAAATATAAATGTTGACTAGAGGAAAAATGGTGCAGTGAAATTGAGCACTCCGGGATTCTTTTCTGGGTTCTGTGTACGGCTTGTGAGATGCTGGACTATTCACTGAATCTCTCCAAATCTCAGACTGTTCTCTCAGTAAGCGCAGATCGTATTAGCTCTATTAGCTCTATTCTATTAGAAAAGTGCATCAGGAGGATGGTGTGGCTTGGGGTAGACTATCAATAACTCTTAGGTCCCTTCTCCACAAAGAGATATAATAAAATACTTCATTAAGAGGAGACTCAGTGAATCTGTGGATTCTATGTTTTTTATGTGAATGTATTTAAACACATTTTATATTCTGGCAGAAGTCTTTACTTCTTCTATTAATTTATGCTGAGGACTTAGTGCATTTAAAAGTGAGTTACATGACACATTATTTTTTAGGCTAGATGAAAAAAACATTGTTTTATAACAGATGACTGAATACACTCAATGGAACACCGTCTCTTTTATTAAATACAGGGTACCTATATGAAACATAACCAAACATCACCCATGAGGATAAGGTTCTAATAGGATCTAGTAAATAGCATCAGATTTGGATAAATGAATTCATATATTTCTACACATATCTATGCACACACATATATGGTATGTGTGTATGTGTGTATGAAATGCTACTATCTCTGAATTAAAATGTTAAAATTGAACACTAAAGACAATAATTGGCATGCATGGACACCAAAAAACCTTCCACAAAAATCATTGCTGTTTTTAATATCTCTTTACACAGTTAAAAAGCCCATTTCAGTTTGCAGTTTGTCTTTTAAAGCCTCTCCTTTGATGTTCATTTCAGTGTGTTGCATATGTAAACACTTACTATATGCACATCCGAACACCTCGATTCGCATTCCAATTCTGCCCTTGGGGTTCCATTCTACAGGGATGAAGCGCAGAACTCTGGCTTTGATAGAAGGCTGGAGCCTGGCATACACCACACTGTCCGCATTTGCATTTCCTGAAAAGCCCTGGAAGAGAAAGGGAGGAAGGAAATCAGTCTGTCCGCAGAGTGCCCATCTCACTCCACACCCAACAGGGCAACAATCCACAATACAACTGGATTTTTGATTATGAAAATGACTCCTTCTTCAAAAAAAAAAAAAATCACATTAGCAGTTTTTCCCCAAACTCATTGTTGCCTAAACTTTTCTGCTTATTAAGAGTAGTTTAAATTCTACCAGCCCCATTAAACCAGCTTTAACTATGATACCCCTGATAAAGAATGCATCTGTAAAGTACAGAATAAACTTAAAATGTGCCAGGCCTAGGGCTATTAACATTGGGACTAGCACCAAAAAAAAAATTGAGAAAACATGCTTCCAGTATAGAAAAACCATTATTTGATTTAGCAAAGATGCTCACATCACTGATGAATGGGTAAAGTTATGATTTGTTTCAGATGTTTCACCCTCTCATCTTACCCATTAACAGAAACAAAAGTATCACCCAACATTCAAGTCAAAACTATCCTCTGATGACAGGTTTTAAACTTCATTGGTACATGACTGAACATAAAATTGTTATGTGAAATTGGAAACGGTATGAATTCACAAAGATCTGTAATTAGACTTTGAGACTTGAGAATCTGAAAGCTACAGAGACCTCGGGTGGGATGCTAAGGCAGTACAAACCGCAGATAAGGAAATTAAAGGTCGGAAAGGTGAAAAAAACCCCTCCGGTGTTTGCAAAACCATTATCTCTAAGACAAGGAGCCAAGTCCTCCCATAATAGCAAGATGCATCTCCCTAACACATAGCTCACCTGCAAAACAACTTACTACAGCACCATCTAATATCTAAGCCAAAAATTTCAACAAATTTCTCACTCGCATTACTTGTCAGAGCGTACTGACCAGCCTGTACACGTGCACGGTACTGCCCATGACAGGTATAATTATCCAGCAAGGTTCAAACATATTAGGTCACAAAAAGCACTCCTCATTTTTTGGCATTCTTGATTTTTGTTGCCTTTGTGTGCAGAATATTTTCGTAGTCTAACGTTCCCCAGCACATAAGTAAGAACACATTGCTTCATCCCACAGATACTTGGAATCTAATAGCCAGAGTTCCATCTTGTTCCACTGCTCAGAAGTTTTGCCTAAGGGTCTGGTAAGAAAGGTCAACTTAAGTTACTTCTATATCACCCTACTCAACCCTAGTCAACCCACCCCTATAGCACCATGCTCTCCATTTCTCCACCATGCAAATCATGAATATTCACCCAAATATGTAGTGTTGCATGAATTCCAATGTTTCCTATAGAATGGTTGATGTGGGGTACTGTGTCCCAAAGTTGGACTGCACCTGCACTTACAACTTCAAGTGCTCAGATCCTGGCATTGGGCTACACATGTGTGTTTGTGTGTGCATGTGTGTTGTGTCTGAATGTGTGTGTATGCACACAAACGAGCATGCAGGAGTCTTTACAAATGTTCCAAATCAAGGTAATGTGCAGCCAGGGTAAAGGCACTGAGACCTGTTTGAAGATGTTCAACTCCAATCCACAGCAACTTCCTGTCTTAGCAGATCTTGGGAGTATTTCAACAGCTTCGTAAAAGTAATGAAATTAAGAGATACGTTTCTCTTTAGGCAAAAAAAGATGAAATCATATATACAAGGGCTTTCAAAAACTCATGGAAAATGTGATTAAAAAAAACTATACGTGGATTTCAAATTTTTGCACCAAAATAAACTCATGTTTTAGTTCTATTTTTCATGAACTTTCGGAGTATCCTTGCACTTCTGATTCCATTTCTCTGGCAGACTAACACAATCTCTAATTAGAATTTCTTGCAGAGGGAACAGCTGGCTGATTAATTAGATAATCCACCCAAAGATTGCATATTTTTCAAAAATTAACATAAGTCCATAGCATTGGATAGATGTCCCAACAATGCTTTCAGCATCTTAAGGGATTGGGAGAAAAAATGTATACAACGGCAGTGACAACAGACAGATAAAAAGAATAGGGAGTTCTGGCCGGCGCCGTGGCTCACTAGGCTAATCCTCCACCTGCGGCGCTGGCACCCCGGGTTCTAGTCAAGGTCGGGGAGCTGGATTCTGTCCCGGCTGCCCCTCTTCCAGGCCAGCTCTCTGCTGTGGCCCAGGAGTGCAGTGGAGGATGGCCCAGGTCCTTGGGCCCTGTGGCTGCATGGGAAATCAGGAGAAGCACTTGGCTCCTGGCTGCTGATCAACATGGTGCGCCGGCCGTGGCGGCCCTTGGAGGGTAAACCAATGGCAAAGGAAGACCTTTCTCTCTGTCTCTCTCTCTCACTATCCACTCTTCCTGTCAAAAAAATAATAAAAATAAAAAAGAACAGGGAGTTCTGAAAACAGCGATCTTTCACTTTTCACCTGATCCAGTTGTGAGTTATTTGACTTTGGGAAACATAGAGAAGAAATGTAAGATACACTGGGGACTGGCATTGTAGTGTAGGGGGTTAGATCAGCACTGGCTTGGCAGGCATCCCATGTTGAAGCATCAATTCAAGTCCTAGCTGCTCTGCTTCTGATTCAGCTTCCTGCTAATGTGCCTGGGGAGACATTGGATGACCACCCAAGTGGCTGGGCCCTGGCCACTCATTTGGGTAGCTGGCACGGAGTTTCTGGCTTCTGGTTTCAAGACTGGCCCAGCCCTATCTGTCACATTCATATGGGCAGTGGACCAGCAGATGGAGGATATGTCTGTCTGTCTGTCTGTCTCTCTCTCTTCTAACTCACTCTGATGCTCTTCCTTTCAATTAGATAAGTAAAGGGATCTTGAAGATACATAGTTTGTATAATAAAAGTATCTTTACTGACATAATTAAAATTACTAGGAGTTACCTCTTATGAAGTTGTGAGGTTAGGGTTATCAGACATTTGGCATATTTTATACAAATCCGGACTTTTTTCTGGTTCACTGAAAGCTGTCTTCTGTGTCCTCAAAGGATGGAAGGGACACACGGTCAACCTTGGGCCTCCTTACAAACACCCCAATCCCATTTCTAACAACCTCTTTTGACCCAATCCCTAGCCCCAAGAGGCCCCAGCTCCCAACACCATCACCTTGGATTTAGCACTCAAGACAGGAAGCTTGGGGACAAGCATCCAGATCCTAACTACGAACGAATGTGTCTTGTCTTATCCACTTCCCTGCCTTCAATTTAAAAGTTTCTGGTTCAACATCAGACACAACTGAAGTGTAAGATGAACCTTAATATCTGCTCCAATCCTGTAGATCGCGGTTTTTGTACTCACTATACAACCAAGGAAAACTAAAATTACAGAGGTGACATGCTAGAAAGTGGAGAACCAGGGTTTAATTCCAGGCCTTTCTGACTCCACAGCCCCTAATTCATCAGCCATCAAAAGGCCTCACTGCAACAGATCATGAAAACAAACAACCTACCGCAGAGGAAACTCACTGTATCTGAAACCTTTTGCCTTTTTTTCTCATAATTTATATTTAAAATCTTTTATACATTGGAGAATAATGCAACATAGATTATTGCTGGACTGGGACTCAGCTCTATCAGTTGACATTTATACACAAAAAGATTATTCTGCTCAAATCACATTTTCTCAAGATTATTACAGAGTAAACATAAAAGACAAAGTTTCAATAATTAATGAAACTCTCGCACATAAATAGTAACCTCAGTCATTATACCATCAAATATGTGAAATAACCAGAAATAAAATTAAGGTTATGTGTCTTACATGATAAAATAAAAGACTTCATTATATTTTTCTTTTATTTGATTTAATAATTTTGAAACCCAAGTAAGTGGTCATAGATAGTACAGAAATGTATCCTAACCAAGATAATTTATAAAGTTAATGAATTAAAGTTTCTCATGGGATTTTAAGTACTTCTAAAGTGAGTCTAAATCATATGAAGAGGCATATTCTTCAGACATGAGTTGAACAACTCATGTATAAAAGACAAAATGTATAAAGGGAAATGCCCATATAGCATTTCCTAAGGAGCTATAACAAATCAGAAAACAGGACGGTTCCATGCAGTTGCACAGCAAACTCTGTGATTACATATAAATCAGCCCAGTTCCAGCCACAGTAAACAGCAGCTCCAGCAGAAACACAACACACAGACTGGCAAACATGAAAATCCCTTTGTTGTTGCTGCCCCCTCTTATCGTAAGAATTCTAATGACCTCTATGTCACCTGCACATGACCGACATCCAAAGAACACTCAACTTGACATTGTCAGCTTACACACAGACAATAAGCAAGACACAGCCAAAAACTGGCTAATAGAAATCACTCCTTATTTTATGATGGCAGCTACAAATTTCTACTATGTGTGACTCCCAACAGGTGATCCAGCGTAGAAAGGTGGAAAAGAAAAAAAAGAACCAAAAAGCAGTATTTCACTTCAATAAGCCCAAATAAGAATGATTTCTAAACATATGCTGAACAAGACATTGTAACTACCTACAAAAGTTAACTCCATCTTGAATGAGAACACAATTCATTTATTTTAATAAAGATAGCAATGATAGTTCTCTAAACAAATTAGAAAGGCAAGTTTTAATCTGCATATAAAATAAATATCATTTTTCAAAGTAAAAGGGAATAGAGTTCTATTAATATAAAATTGTTATCTATAATACCTTTAAGAAAAGATTCAGTATCTTCAAAATATTTATTTGAAGAGACACCAAGTTACTAACAGCAGTTTGGTGAGGCCTCATGTGCCAATCATTATATTAGGATGCACAGACACAACGCTGTAAATTACATTGTTTAGATCCTTTTATAGAAGGTTTAGGATTCTAAAGGCAGGAAGATGAAATATCAAGAGACAAGAAGCATGTGAAAGATAAATGTCTGAAGTCTGCAACTATTGTTGAAACACAGCAATAAATTGTTCTATGGAAGATACATGGGCAGGTCATAAAGCTTACATTTATATTAGAGTCTTATATGTTCAATTTTGTTGGGAACTAAATTTTTATTGAGATGG